GGACCGAGAGTTGACGCTCCTTGCATTTTGCAAGGCATCTTAATTCGTTGCAGTTTGCGCGGTCTTGAATTTTTAGTTCTTCGTTACGCGAGTGTCGTTTACTGCTTTTACAGGTCTCTGTGTAAGAAAGCCGCTTTCCCTTGAATTTAAGTTTCTTTTAAGCTCTAGCTTTTTAAGGGCTATTGAGCGCCGGTATACGGTATCTTCGCCGGTTGAACAATACAGTCTCCAGCCGAGATACATCGTCGTTGACCTTGTAGTTGAGGTGAGTCAGCTATTGCTCCCTCACTGTATTTAGTAGACCTTGAGATTACCTTTTCTATAGTATGAAACATACTAGAATTGGTAAATACAAGGCACCGTGGTTTCCTTTTAAGCATTAGAGCTGCTGGACTGCTTTAGCCTTGCGGTAGAAAAAGAGTATGCGACATACGCAATAGGCAGGAGTGGACATGAATTTTGTGCCTGTTGAAATGTATAGGCATACTTGTACAGGTTCCACTCCAGTGGCCTATCTAGTGTGTCCATGCTTGACTGCCATAAGGCTCAAGAGATATAGGATAAGACTCTGCGTGAGCAAAAGACACTAGCGGTCTGCACCTCTACCGTGTACGCCCTAGTCACTCTTTCACCCCCTCCCCCCCCCGCCTTACTTTTAGTAATGAAAACCATCTTCCCAACTCATTTTTCTTCTTTTGATGTTGAGGTGCTCGTACTTTTAGTAATGAAAATCATCTTCCCAACTCATTTTTCGTCTTTTAATGTTGAGGCGCTCCTACTGCCCTCTCGCCTTGTCTTGTCTTGTCGCCTTGTCTCGCCTCTGGTCTTCGCTTCTCTTCTCTTTTCGTTCTCGTTCTCCTTCTCTTCTCTTCCCCCTCTTCGTCTTTTTCAAGCAGGCCATGCATTGGCGCACAGTCGCGCGTGTAGAAAAACGTATAAAAACCTTGGTTTTTCCACGCGTTTTGCGGGAACTCGCTGCCAATTGGGTGCTATATCGCTTATGCTGTCACGGCGTTATTCTAGGCAATGGCTCTTACACGACTTCGCTCTGACACCGCAACCTGTGCACCTTCCAAGGCATGTCGCGCACAAGCCCCTTGCAACCATTTCCTCGCTACTTTTTTTCGCTTACATGTCGCTTTTGCAGAAGCTCTGTGTTACACACGCGCTCTCTGCAAGTACTGTTCGCTGCCCACTCGCTGTAACACCAGCGCAGCTTTTGTTTTTGGCCAGTTGCTCTCCACTTACATGGCTCTTACACTACTTCGTTTTGACGCCGCACCTCATTGACACAAACGTCTCCAGCCAGCGTGCATGTTCCAAGTCCTGTCGCGCACAAACCCCTTGTTTTCACGCACTTTGATATCGTACACTCTGTTAGCTAACCTTTGCATAACCTGCACACAAAAAAACACAATAGCTACACACAGCTACACACGCCCGGGCCATGGCGACCAGCCGTGCGGGCTCGAGCTGATGGCCGGCGGCATGCCGAAGGCTGTAAATAGTCCTTCAAACTATTTTTCAATCAAAAGAGCAACACAAGTGTATGTGGTGATTAAAAGATCCTCTCAACTGGGCGCTCAGCCAAAGTCCGCGTGTGAGTATCCATGACCACCATTAAGGGCCTCAGAAACAATCTTCAGCAATCATGGCAGAACTGCAAGGATGCAGCTTCATGATGCCTTGTTCACTACACAATGTCTGTTTTTGCTACATATTCAGTCTTCTGTCTTCCTTCTTCTTTCTTTGTCTCTTCCGAAATCGTTTTTCTGGCTCCGAAATCTTTCTTGTTACTAGTAGCTTCTTGTTACGCACTTGTTACTAGAAGCGATGCACTTGTTACTAGTAGCTTATTGTTTCTAATTAGAGATCTATAGATTATTATTGTCTCTTCCTTCGTTTTCTTTTCCGAAATCATTCTTCGTTCTTTCCAAAGGTTTCGATCAACGGCCAAGTCGCATCCTTCCCACCCCGATCATACGCCGCCCTCTTCTCAGGGCTTGATAGGACTTCATAGGCCTGAGCAGAGATTCAAGCCTCACGGTTCAATCCATGAACTCTTTTTCCTTTATTGTCTCTACTAGCATCCTTGTTACTACTAGTAAGGCCCTTGCTCTAGTAGCGATGCACTTGTTCCTAGTAGCTTCTAATAGGTTCTTCTTTAAAATTCGTTTCCTAAAGTTTTATCATTTATTTCTCTAGGCCTATTCCTTTTTCCTTTCGTCTTGATGGGACCTTCATAGGCCCGAGCGAAACAAAACTAAAAGCCAGAGACAGTACGGTATACATGGAGCATCTGACCACCATGAGTCGTCCGGCCTCTGCGACAGCCTTGAAGTTTTTCTCCGCTTCCTCCTCAGACCGAAAGGTAGCGTTTGAGGCCTTTCCTATTGGGTACTAGGAGCAAGGACGCTTCTAGGGGCTCCTAGTCAAGTTAGTCAAGTGTTAGGGCAGGGG